AATAACTTTTTTTACACTGGCTCATCATATGTTGAATGGTTATCTATGAAATAAATAAATAAAATAAGCACTAAAGTTTGCTGATTTTTTATATACTATTTATATATAAGTAGGTCTGTATGCAAATCTGACAATATTCTTTGCAGATATATAAAACTCAGAAAATCCTGGAAGATGCAAATAATTTTTCACAAAATTTTAAATGGGAGCTCACTTTTGTGCTTCACATGCTTACTTTTTGGCTCACCAAATTATTGCCAAGATTTGTTCTAAACAACCTTGGTGCATCTTTATGACATCAGGTTCACCAGTTTCCTTCAGATGACAAACACATGTTTTCACTTTCTCTCCCTTCACAATGACTTCCTGTTAGGAGACGATGTTCAGATCCTGTATCTCAGGGGTCTTCAAACTTGGCCCTTTTATGACTTGTGGACTTCAACTCCCAGAATTCCTCAGCCAGCGTGCCTGGCTGAGGAATTATGGGAATTGAAGTCCACAAGTCATAAAAGGGCCAAGTTTGAAGACCCCTGCTGTATCTAGTAGCCTAGAGTCTCACTTCTTAGTTATGTAATACCTGATACACAAGGAAAATGGATGCCTTTAGGAAGTTTGGAGCTGTTCTTATAAGATTATGTGAGTTATTTTTCAAATGGTTACCTTACCTTTCCATGGAAAGTCTTTCAACTACTCTATTTATGTCCTTCAACAAATTTTATTGTTTCTGAAACAGAGTTTATCTTCTTTCAGCATACATTATAACAATTTCTTTTTTTTAATTTTGTTGCCCAGAAATAGTAAGATTTTCCACAGCTTTTTGGTTCAACTTTAGAGAACCTATATCCCTGGTGCAGAGGTAAATTCATTCTTGGATTTTGATTATTTTACCCCCATTTGAGTTCTAAACTAGTTCAACTTTCTTATAATTGAAATCATGATAACTATTGTTTTAATGTTGTTTACTATTAAAGTGTTTCTTCTTTCAACAGTTAATTCTTTATGATGTCACATCAGTGAACCCTTGTACTTTACACACTGATCTAACTGTCATCCAACTTAGAGACAAACTTCTTAGCAGATGCCGCTTTCCTGCCAAAGGCAGTGACTGATTTCCATCTGGCTCAGGTCATAATTCTTCTGACTTTCTTCTCTCAGATGATATGCAGCAGATCCTTCATTGNTTGCCTACCCCTGGTCTAGATGTTTGTTAGCCTCATGCTGTATGTAAACTGCAGTATTCTCGATTGCCAAGCCCACTTTAACTAAAAGCAAGATTCTCCCAGAATTTCTTTTAACAAGATTTATTGAAAGAAAATATAAAAAGCTACAGAAATCTCGGCAACTGGGTTGCTCTTGTTTTAGGATCTTGTTTCCCGGCTCGTTTAGGTGGGGACTTTTTCAATATTTGGCAAGAAGGCTGCTCTCTTAATAAGTGAGAAATTTCCAGGTGGCAAGGATGTAAATTTGTCAGTTTCTGAACTTATTGTTATACATATATGGAATGCTTAGAAACTACAAAGAATTATAAATTGTTTTCTTGTAATTGTGGTTTTTCAAGTCCTTCTTGAGTAACCTCATATTTTACTCTTTCAAGGCACTATGTGGGTTCCAAGAGCTTTGCATTACTTGGTGAAGCCAGGTGCTGGAGTGGATGAAGTCCCATTATGTTGTCAGCTTTGTCAGCTTTAGAATTTTCCTAAATGAAGGGTCATGCACAGATCCATCGGAAGAACTGCAGTTACAGGAAAACAGCCAATCGTTTTGGCTTTAGAGGCTTATGTGAGGGGACCCTACTATTACATATTATAGGATAATAGTCTCTAATAGCATATCTTTCAGATTTAAAATCAAGATTCCTATAAAGAGAATCTGAATACAGTACAATGTATTAAAATACATTGCAGAAAATTATAACAAAATCTTTTAAACATATTGTCTGAAGAATCAGAAGAAAAGTATATATCCTAAAAGGACAAGAGCCTTCATTTATGTCACTGGTTCTATGATTTATAGTCTAGAAACAGTTTTTACTACAAAAACGTAGATTATTTTTGGTTTGTAAGAGACATCTGACACTGAAATACACAGTGTACTGTATATCTATTAATGATGTACAATTGTGTCATATGAGTAATAAACACTAGGAGCATGCATCTTTTGAGTATTATTTATCACAGCATTATGGTGTAGCTCATTCAGAGTTGCATAGCCAATGCTCAATGATTAGCTATTGGGGGGGGACTAAGGAACAGCCGGGCAGGTGAACATAGGAAAGAAAGATTAGACAAGTGATTTAGTTAGCATACCTAAAAGTTGGTTACATTACAATCTTACAGTATCGGTTGAGAGACTAAATCTTGGGAAAAGGTGGGTTTCAAGGAGTTTAAGAAAGAAAGAGAAACAATTGGACATCCCAAATAGTTAAGTATCTAAGGTATCTACAGTAAGTAATTCCTTTCTTTCCTGTGACATTGACATATTCTGTATGCTTCATTTGACCTATCCAAACAATGCTGGCAAATTAATGGCATAGTACAGTGGTGGCGAACCTATGGCATGCGTGCCAGAGGCGGCACTCGGAGCCCTCTCTGTGGGCACTCGCGCCATGCCCCGGAGATGGCAACCATCCTCTTCAACCAGCCGCCCGCTAACTTGCCGAGGTCCCACATGGCCGGATGCATCCCAGCACCCATGCGCTTGCTGGCCTTTGTGTGTGTGGGCCGATGGTGTCAGGCAGCAGCCACCCTGGCCCCTGCCTCGCCTTGCCCTGCGACATGGCACCCCCACCCTGCCTCGCCTCAACCTGCAGAACCAGCTTCCTGCCCACTGCCCCACCCGCCAGAGACCCCTGGATCTCCCCCAACCCTGCCCAGCCCCCACAGGCGTCCCTCCCCAGGAGCAACATCGAGCTGGCCATGCCCACCCTGGCCACGCCCACCCGTCTGCCATGACCACACCCACCCGGCAGCACCCACCCAGGCCACACCCACCCGGCAGCCACGCCCACCCAGCACCCGGCAATACATAAGTGGGTTTTGGATTGAAGTTTGGGCATTCGGTCTCTAAAAGGTTCGCCATCACTGGCATAGTAATTTCTTCCTCCCCCTAATTGATGCTTTGTCATCCAAGTGTTCTGTGAAGTTTTTGTAAGAGTATTCCAGGCTTTGCTTTTATAAGGTTTTGTAGGATTAATACTGTTGGAATAGGATATAAATTAAGACAGTAAAGTTTTGCTTTGCCAATTAGCATTAATCCAGATTAAAACAGCACAGGGGAGATATTTGTAGTTGTAATCTTATTTTAGTTGGACCCTTTATATTAGACTATTGCTTCTTTTCCAAATGCAAGAAACAAGTATTTTCTCATTTGTCTCTTCAGAATTTAGTTCACTTTTAAATGAATTTATTTTATTAGAGTAACACACAAGCAATAGGAAATACAGATTGTTATTCTCTGCTCATAAGGATAACTATAGTCTTCTTGAAAATCTAGTTTTCAAAACTTTAGATTGCTTTTTTGAATGACTTTCATTTTAGGAATAGATATGTGAAGTGTGTTGGAGAAAATTGATGAGTAGCTGCAGATTTATTTATTTATTGCATGGTAAATATCTGCAGAATTTGGGAATCATACAGGGCAGGTTTGGGAAGCAAATCTTGAGCTGTAGCAGAAAGGAGGAGCAGGGAAAAATAATGTAAGTGGACTTTTTCACACAATGTTGGGTGTAGCCTAGGATTTTTCTGGGCAAGAGAGAAGACTTGTGGGTGGTTAGGCTTCAAGAATCAAGAAGGCAGAAATAGCACTGATCACTCTACTGCATTTGGACCTGGATGGAGGGAGTATACCCTCCTTGCTCTATAAGTCATCTTGGCAGTTTTTAATGCTATTAATCATGGTATCTTTCTGGGCCACCTGAATATCTGAGAGTACAATGCACCATTTTGCAATGGTTCCATTCCTACTTGTGGGTGCTTCCAGTTGCTCATTATGGAGGGTGAGTGGGCAAGCTCGTGGTCGTCCACTGTGGGATGCTACAGGATTCAATTCATTCCCTTGTGTTGTTTAACATACATCTAAAACTACTGGTAGAAGTCATCTATTAGTTTAGGATGAGATGTCATTAATATGCCAGATCAAGTGGACTATTGCAATGCAATGCATATGAAGAACTGTCTTTGAAGATGGTTTAGAACAGTGGTTCTCAACCTGTGGGTCGGGACCCATTTGGGGTCGATCGACCATTTCATGGGGGTCACCAAGCAAGGCTGTCCGCCATTTTTTTTTGTCCGCCATTTTTTCTCCTTTTCCGGCGGGTGCCTTACCTCCCTTGGGCTGGGCCAGCTGGTGGTCGGCCTGCTCCGTCTCTGCCGCTTGCCAGCTACGCCTTGGCCGGCGCAGGGGGCGGAACCACGCATGCACGGCGCTCCCGGGCAGGGAAAGTCCTCGACTTACGACCGGTTGGGTAGTCCTCGACTTACGACCGGTTTAGTCCTCGACGTACGACCGGTTTAGTCCTCAACGTACGACCGGTTTAGTCCTCGACTTACGACCGGTTGGGTTCGCGGCATTAAAAAGGTTGAGAACCACTGGTTTAGAACTTGCTAATTATAGAGAACATGGGAACCAGACTGTTGGGGCAAGGGAATTGCTATTGTAGAATCCCATTCCAAAATGCTAGTTGGATGAACAAACAAACAAATAAACTGCTTCCATCAGCTTTTAGTGGTACTTTTTAGGAATAATAAAAGAATACTAACAACAATGCCATAATAACAAAATATCATTTGAAAGGTTTCTGGTTTTCCCTTTGATTGTCTTAAAGCATTAAGAAGAAACTTGATAGGCTTAATACAACAGATTCTGGGAGTGATTTGGAGATATATAGAACAAAATGTGACTCCTTTTATCAGTTTTGAACATTTCTGCTTCACTTCCAATGCTCTGTATCTCTGCTGTACATCACATTGGCTGTTGCTAAGCTCTCTCCTTCTTGATTCCAGGATTGTTTTAATGGATGATGCTGTGGACTGTTTGATGTCTTTTTCAGACTTCCTGTTTGCCTTCCAGATCCAGTTTTACTACTCAGGCAAGTCTATCCCACTTTATTACATTTGTGATTAATGTAATCGGACAGATCAGATAGCATAGTACTGGGAACAGACAGTTGTCCAGACAGTTTTGCTCTATAATAAAAACTGTGCTGTCAGAAATCTGTATGTCAAGCATTGTTCTGTATATCTGAGCAAGAGGATTATTTCACACATTTTTCATGCTGGATCAGGTCGTGCTTATGAGTATCTTTAATTAATATATTCCCACCATGCCTTTTAGAGCAAGTCTTAATAAGCAGTTGCAATAAAAATACCTTTAAAAATAACAGATAACAACATAGAGAAAAACATATACTAAAGATTAAAAAAAAAAGCTATGTGTGAATATCTACCCCAACAGAATTACTTAAGTGAAAACATTATGAGAGTGGAATAGTAATTGAAAAGGCTTTGCTGGTATTACTAACCTGAATGCTTTTAATAGCAGGTCAGTGAACAAGCTCTCTAAGACTGTTTACAGACTTTGTAAGTTATGTCAGACTTCATACTGAGATCAGTAATGAAGGACAGCCACTGCTCCTGATAAAAGATCATTATGATATGATTAAACAAACTCACCTGGCCTTTCCCATGCAGTGTTAATCTTTGTAAGCCCCAGGCCAACTCTACAACCACTGTGATGGCTGATGTTTGCATGAATTCAAGGATGGTAATTCTATATAGGTAACATTAGGATGGTCTAGATTGGAGTAATGCAGGGGTAGTCAACCTTGGCTCTTTTATGACTCGTGGACTTCAACTCCCAGAATTCCTGAGCCAGCTAAGTCATAAAAGAGCCAAGGTTGACTACCCTGGAGTAATGTATGTATGTAAACTGAAGAGGAGGTGAAAAATGTTGATAAATCATTCTAAGCAAATAAAATGTAGTCTTTGTCAATAAGGAGTTCTGTCTCCATAAATATCGGAGTTCTATTACAATATTTCAGATTCCAAGCTATAGTTGGGAAGTGAGTTTTTGTAAGCATACCCTATCCCTAGCATTTCTATATGTGCTGATTCCACCGGGCTCCTCATTGCTATGGTCTTGAGTGTAGATTGGATTCTTATTTTGTTCATCCCTTTGGGGACTTCTCTGGTAAATCTAAGGAAGATTGGAGATTGGAGAGCCTGCTTACATGGGGAGATGTTGGAAGCAAAGCTGACAAGTTTTGGCACCATTTTCCCACAGTGCTTAAAGTTAGAAAACCTTGAACGCTTCTCAGAGGTATCCCCAAGCTATGTTACCTGGTTCCACGGTAGAGCAAATCCTCCTAAAACTTGTTTACAAGATTTTCATCAGTCAGCATTCAGAAATGCTTGAAAGCTGTTGATGGCTACCCAGCACCTTGAGTTGCAAATACATAGACAGTTTCTACACATAAGATAAACTCTATGCACATTATTCAGAAAAGGCTACTGCATATAGGAAATTTCAGTATTGAAAATTATGGTCAATAACCAGTATAAGAGAGACAGAGAGAGAGACAGGGATAGAACAGCAAATATCCATGTATGTATAATAAATGTCAAAGTAATTAATTTAACATAGTGTATAAAATTATAATAAAACCTATTGAAGCAATCCAATCTACTCAACTAAATTTATAAAACCTATTATCTCTAAAACTCATTTGCTTTATTTGCTACTTTAGAATCCTTGGTTGGGTAATTTGTGAATAAGTAAGAAAAAATGAAATGGAAGAAGCAAATAACTTTTGTGATATATAGCATTAGGACAAAATATACTATAGAATTTTGTCTTGCTAAGCCAGCTGACAGTTTTTATCTAAGAGGTACTTAGGCTTGTGTAGGAAATTCAGCTCTTTTATTCTGAGGTACAGTTTTGCCTCTGTTGAGAACTAAATGAAAGCAAAGGGCAGTTATTATAAATGTTTTTCATTTAAGAGTAAAATGTAATAATTATGATCGTGTGCAAATGTTTATTATGATGTCAGAGAGGGCCTTGTGCTAAATAGCTTATTTCATTGCAGCTCCTAAGACAAGTTTCTCTGTTACTTCTCTCTCAAAACAAGGTTCAATTGTACGGCTATTAATAACCCTTTCCTCAAGTCATCTTTCTCTCTACAATCATGTCATCTGTATGAGGGAGATTATGCTATTCTGGAGTTCAGAGAAAGGAAAATAAAAAGCAATAATTTATAATATGCTTCATCCTTGGAGATTATCCAACTTTCAAATTCACATTAAAATGTCACCTATCTGTTTCATAGATACACTTTTGTAGGTTCCAAGCATGCACGCTAGTACCCTTGGAAACCATTTCTGTTGTTATCCAAATTCAACAGTTTTTTCAGGTCACCCACCAATATGCATACATGCAAAACACTCAGAGTGGAATCTACATCTTTGCATAGCTGATCAGGATGGTTAAAAAACTTTGTTTATATGTAGACTCTGGGAGTAAATAACAGGAAAATTTTGCAGCCTGAGGGAGAATATTTTCAGCCAGTTTCTTTGCTCATATCTCTTTTGACCACCATACCTGAAGTTGCATTAAAACACACTGGGCTGCTTACTAGAGCTTGTATGTATATATAGATAGAACTTGTGTGTGTGTGTGTGTGTGTGTGTGTGTATACATACATAGATAGATACATACATACATACATACATTTGGGTGGCCTTGACTTTTATTCTTCTTCACAGAATAACAATTCTACATAATTGAAACCCTAGTCTAAAGAATAGAATCTATAGGCTCTTTGAGATAGCTTTGATAATCTTTGTGTGATTTTCATGTCATATAGCAACTAAATTAGCAAGTAAGCTGCATATTTATATTGGTCATCGCATATTCATATGAGCGCTGGAAACAGTAAAACATTCTCAAAGTACAATATATAACTAGAATAGAATAGAATTAATTAGCTACACAGTTAATGCAGTCTTTTATATAGCACCATAGCCTTATAGTACGTTGATAAGTGATTTTTACAACATATCTTTGTATTTGAACAGNCTACGTCGTCTTCTGGGCAGCATCGTTCGCGTCAAGCTCTCAGTGAGTGCAGTCTAGCCGATGGAGTGGAGGCATCTGCATTTTACCAGTGCCTTGAATCATTATGTGACAAATCCAAATACAGGTAAGGCCAGCTGGTTAGAACAAGTTGTATCTATTTCATTGGCTTCAGGTTAAGGAAGGGGCTTAGTGACATTGCGGTGCAAACAATTCATATCGAAAAGGTCTTGTAAATGTGGCCTTGTTTCTTCAGTCTTGTGCTGTTCCTCTTCTTCCGGAAACTAACGAATGTCACGTATTGATCCAGATTAAGTTTTGACTTTTGTATGTATTATGCAACTGATTTTCAGCTGTCACCAGTTCTGCCCCATTTTACATCAGTTAGTGAACATATTTTGACTTCCAGATTTTTGGAGGTCTGTCAGATTCATCGATGTAATTCATAGGTTCCTCTGAGGAAAAGCACAGGGAAAGGAAACTATTTCATTTTATTTACAATTGGAAAAAAAACCTATACTGACTGAAAGAAATGAATGGATTAGAGTGAACAGAGTTCAGCAGCAGTTGAAATAAACAAGAAAATAATATAATTTGTGAAGAAGATAAAAGGGCAAGATTTCATGGTATATTGTTCCTCGTCACATCAGTCCCAACTGTGCTCTGATGACAACCTAAAATTGTCACCCATAGAAGAAAGCATGCGATTTTAAAAGGGTAGCTAAAAAACTCTCCTCGTAAAACGTTGGACTTTTCATTTGTAGCTGGAATCTCTGTCACAGCAAACAACTAAACAGCTGGCTTGTGGCATTCAGTTTGATTCAAGACTCTTCCAAACATTCAGCATCAAATGGGGACAAAACTTTGCAATAATTATTTTGTCACACATGTGCACATGCAAAAAACCTACAGAAAGAAAAGCAGTACATGAACACACTGGGAAAAGTCACAGAGAAAAGAGAACACAGAAACATAACATTTATAGAGAATACAGTTAGAAAGAGGTCACATTTTCTCCTATATGCAGGGAAATTGTGCAATCGTTCTATTGACTTGTCTTGGGGGAAGGTTACTCTGCTGAAACAAAAATGGAAGGGGGGGAGCCTGTTGCCCAGTAGACAATGGGCTTTTTTATCCCAACTCACCAACTATTTTTTTGGAAGTGATGCTCTTTTCACATTTACAAATGAATGGAGCATACTTTCCACTAAATTTCCACCATTTTCCAT